AGCATCTACTATGTTAGGACTGGAAAGGCTTCCTTCCTGAGGTTTTAGCCTACCCGTTGTCTTCAAGTCAATTCTGACCCATAGTGACCCTATAGGACAGAGTAGAATTGCCCCATAGAATTTCCAAGGCTGTGATCTTTACGGAAGCAGACTGCCACATCTTTCTCCCGAAGAGCAACTGGTGGGTTTGAACCACCGACCTCTCGGTTAGCAGCCCAGCACTTAACCACAGTGTCACCAAGGCTCCTTTTGATTTGAGCCTAGATCTCTATATTTTACCCTGTTCCCCTTTTGTTCACAGCTAATAAATTATAGCCATTCTCTTTTTACTCATAAAACTAAAATAGGCCTCTCATAGTAACATTTTATTTCTTTTATAACAATTATATGCTATTAATCTCAAATTACTTTGTTTACTCATTTAGTGTTTGTCTCCTTTTAGAATGTAAGTAAGCTCTTTGAGGGCAGAAACCTTGTCTGTCTCATTCATTGTTGAATTCCTGGGGCTTAGACCATATAGGAGGCACTGAACAAAATATTTGGTAAATTATGAATTTAAAAATGATTAAACATGTATGATCCAAAAAGTAAATTTTGGTTATTAATTTCAAACAATCTTTTACCAAGACTGTTAACCCCTCTTTTTTGTGCTTTTGTCTATACTCTAGGGTTGCTAGCAAAAGAATTTGATAAATGATAATAAACAGTAAGAGAAATAGCAAGAGATGTAAATAATATGTACACCAGTTGACCTCTGATTAATGGGACTTGTAAATTAAGCTGTCGTTCTTACCACTTACCTGGTTTCTTTCATACCAGAAGAGTGAAAGATTCTTTTTTTTGTAAGGCTATTTTTAAAAACTTACAGCTAACTCATAGGACTATGTCTTTTTATTTGTATGTCTATTTTGCCTGGTACTTAATAGTTTCTTAGTAACGTTTTGTGAACGGAATGAATGAATGATAGCTAGTTAGTCTAAACTCTTTCCTGATTTTTATGAATCTTTGATTTTTGTAATCATATGCTCTTCTCATCTTTTATACCCAGCATTGTCTGCTTTTTGTCATTAGGAACCTAAGAAGCGGTCCCTGGGTGTGTTTGTACATGGCTTTTATTCCTCACTTAAAGTTGGGCCTTCTTACTAGTAACATTAGTTGATTGCTAGAGAAAAGATCACAACCAGGTTCAGAGAATAGAATTTTTAAACCTCAGTGACAGACTCCACCCTCATTCTATTAAAAAGAAAAAGAAAGAAAGAACAATCTATATTTTTATAATATATATATAGAGAGAGAAATGGAGACCCTGGGTCGTGCATATGGTTAATCGCTTGACTATTAGCCGAAAGATTGGTGGTTTGAACCCACCCAGAGATGCCTTGGAAGATAGGCCTGGTGATCTGCTTCCAAAAGTTCACAGCCTTGAAAATCCTATGGAGCAGTTCTACTCTGTGCACATGGGTTGCCATGAGTCAGAATTGATTCATTGGCAACTAACAACGAGAGAGCGATGTATAGATGTACAATCTATTTTCTTCCTTGCACATTGGTATGTGAGTATTTTAGGACCTAGCTCTGGCACTGACAAAATTAGTTAGCATAGATTTTGTGAAATTACCCTAGTTATTAAAAATTGTTCTCTAAACCTTGGTTTTTCTTCGTTTCTCTCCTAGCATTCAGATGATTTTCTGTCTTTTGAGTAAATAGTAATTTGTGTTATTTATGCATTGTGGTGGCTCTGAGTACAGGAACATTTCCCTATGCAGACTTTGGCCTCTAGGACAGCCTTTTTATACATCTTTGTTTTCCTGTTAGCTTCTAAGATCCCCACTGAAAGCATCTCACTTCTTCTTGGCAATGCCTCTTAACGTGTATATCCTTCTCTTGTCATTTATTGTTTAGTTTTATAAAATGTTTGAGTTTCATCCTGAAGAACAGATCCAGAAGCAGATGACAGACTGAGTGCCGTGTGCAGACGCATGATCTAATTGTCAAGTAGTACAGTTACAAATGGGCTGTGAGTTAAATTCAAGTGAATGGCAGCATCATTATTCAAGATTTCACTTTTTGTTTCAGTCTGTTTATACCATAAAAATGTATTGCTTTTTGTTTTTGAGACAGCATCAGTTTGATCTCTTATAATTGGAGACTTGTTTTAAATGTCAGGTAGTACTAAACAATGGCATTCTTTATCTGTAGCAATTGTAGCAGACTGGGAATTTTTTTAAAAAGATGTTGGCTGGAATTTTTTTTTTAAACGGTGATATAGATCACCATTATCATTGTTCAATAATTTAAATTTTTAAGAAAGAAAAATCACTTTAATATTTAATTTTAAAGTGAAAATTTTCATAAAGCAAGACTTATGGAAATGATGTGAGGCAAGAGATTGAGGGAATGGTTTAAGAATAATTATGGATGTTTAAGAAAGAGGGCCTTCTTTCTCCCATTGTGATCTCCCTTTGGTGAAAATGGCAAACAAAGGCCAACAAATGAAAAGGAAGCAGGAAATCCTAGTCAGTGACTGCAGATCTGAATATTTAAGAGCCATGAAAATGCTTACTTTTGTTACATTTTACCCCCCAAGTTTTTTGTTTTTGTTTTTTTGCAGTTTTTTACGTTTTTCTGTGTTTGTTTTGGCTTTCAGAAAATCATGATTTTTCATCTCCATTTCCTAGTAAGGATGTCATTATATAAAATTTGGAAGCCATATATTGTGATGTGATTGTGCAAAGCCAAGTTAAATTTTGAATTTTGTGGTTTAAAGGAAACCAACCATTCCAGAATTTATGTAACCACTTCCTATAACAGTACCACCTCATTCCTCAGTTTGGACCCTTTCCCTCCCCTAATAGAAAAGTGAGAAAACTTAGCCCCAAATCCAAGATAAAGGTGAAAAATCCTGCCTGGCTTTTGTATTATTTCTGCTGTAGCCCTTGTAATTTACTTCCTGGTTGAGAATATGTCAGAGGATCTTGTTGAAATAAAATTCTCATTTCATTATTATATTAGGAAAGCAGATTCTGGGACTTGAGAGTGTAATTATCTTCTGCACAGCAGTCATTAGGAATTTTTCCAGAGATGAACTGCTTTCTGAAAATGTTCAGATAGAGTTGTCAGCCATAATGGCCTTCGTCTTTGCATTTATTTATTTGTATTTATTTTTTGCATTATGTTATAGCTCTAGAAAGTGCTAAACAATCATTGTGTATTTAAAACAAACAAACAAACTAGAAAGCCCCTTGTCCTGAGGCTGTGTGAAGAAGAATGTCCCAGTACCAAATCATCAGCTTGAGCTGGCCTCTCCTAGGAACAGAATTTATTGAAGCAATTTATCCTGGCTAAATGTGATATAAATCTGTGTACACGTATGTACATACAGGCTGTCTTCCATTATAGCAGTGCTGCAGCATCAGTTTCCTTCATAGTTAGACCTGTTCTGATCACACTGAAAGATGACCAGGAAGCCCTTTCTATTTTATGGGACACCTCACAATTTTAAACACTGATTAGTTGTGGAATTGCTGAACAGACAACCAGAAATACTGGTTTCCAACCCCAGAGTCTTAAGAGAGTAGGAGAGATGTTACCTAGCCACCCTCTGAGTTTTAAATGTGGTTTTCTAATTACCAGGTTCAGTCTAGCGCTCTTTTTATTTTAATGCGGGCCTGACTGAGGTTAATTTGACATTTTGGTTTATCTCCAAGATAAAAATTTGAAATTTGGTTAACAGTTCTGAAGTTGTTTTCAGGCATATTCAAATTGTAGTTCTTCCTCTGTTCTTCCTCTCTACTCTTTTTCATATTCTTTCATATACCTTTCTTGTGGAAAGATGTTTGAAAATGTCCTTTAGGAGTTTATGCTATAAAGGCTGTTTTTGTTGTTTTCTCCTCTTTTTCTCTTCCACACTTCCAAAATGTTTGGGAATATTTTTAATATCGTTTGCATTTCTTATTCTTGTCTGTCTCAAGCATCTTCTATTTTTATTCTTAGTTAGGATGTGGGATATGAAAAATCTCTGTGACACATTCAGATTAGAGTTATTGCTCTTTGACAGAGAATTTCAATCAACATCTCAAGAATTTAACTTTAATTAAAAAAAAAAGTATAAACTCTGTTAAATTCTTGAGCAAAATAGAGAGGATGGATGGTGATGCCTGTTAGTACCATTTCTTTTATCCCCTGCAGCAGCACACATCTGTTGGCTGCAACAGAGCAGCCCAAGATCTCTGGCCGAGAGCAGCACAGACAGCCGGAACATATTCACAGTAAACCCCCAAAGAGTCGACATTTGTTTTATTGCTGCTTTTAAAAACCTAGCCATAAATAGAATCAGATGGGAGAAGGGCGCCGATATTTCTCCATTTGCCACAGACGCTTAGTGGGGGGAGGAGGCGGCTCCCAGTGGGGAGAGAAGATTTTTTTTTAAATTTTTTTTATTAATGAAAATCATTTCCCGTGTAGCCCAATAGGATGGGTGCTTTGTTTTCTTTGGCAATAATCTGGGATAAACGGCCCTTGCCAACAGTCTTGTAGTTTATACACCAGGGAGCCAGATTATGGCCCTGTAAAATGGAGCACCCCTCCTATAATCCCTTAATTAATTAAATGACAAATTTTGGTCTTCTCTAGTTTAGAAATATGGCTTCCGCATCGAGCGTTCAGTGGATTTATTGACATGGGGAACTACACTGGTTGTAATTCAGCAGACTGGAGTAGTGTTTTATATATACTGTAGCAGAAAGAGGGAAAGTCTAGCAAAAGGTTTAAAATTCCTTGAATATTTAAGCCTAAATTTTTCTAATTAAAAGTTTCAATTGAGGCGCAGTAGACCATATGCCACCTGTCTAATGGGTCTCCCCAAAGTAGCCTGTGTTTACAGCTTTGATAAATGGCATTCTTTGGACACCTGTTTCTAGGCTTGATATTTTTGAAGCACTTTTTTTTTTTTGCTCCAGCGTATTTAACATAACTTTTCCCCCCTACCTCCCCCTCCTCAGCTCCGCTCTGCTATATGAAATATGGGAGACGACAGACCGTTTGTGTGCAATGCCCCAGGCTGTGGACAGGTACGTTTACAATATACTTTATTGTGAATGTCTTGTTGTGAATCAAAGTGGCTGTTTTATCACTAAGGCAAAGAGTTTAAAGCCGGTATTTTACGTGATCACTGGAGGTAATCAGATCAGAGGATTTGCAGTGTATAAATCCAAGTTATGAGGAAGTGTAGGCACTCTACCGTAATGAAATCTGCCTTGCTCTCTTCCATATTGTTATTCTACTGGTGTTTATTTCCCAGCACACAGTGTTGAGGAATACATGTTGCTGTCTCATCCTTTCTAAAACTGTCTATGTAAATATAAGAAAAAGTCATGACATTTTTGTTTTGTTTTGTTTCTTTTGACTGTTGATCCAGAAAATCAGTGCTAGCAGCCAAGGGACACATTTATCTAGGGAAGACAAATCCGACATAGATCCCAAGATCTCACAGCATTATATAAACTATAAATTTTCTTAGCCATTTTCTTTGTCTGATTCCATGAGATGCGTTGTTCTGTGTGTCAACTGCCATGTAATTGTTTGCATACATGTGTATTATGTGTCAGATTGTTTTCATCATACGCTTTTTTTAATAAAGTAATTTTGTTGAAACGGCCCTTTTTTTTTTTTTCTTTCCATTTTACACCTTAACTCTTCTTCCTAGGCCCTCCCCTACTCCCATGTTCCACAAAAAGATAAAGAGAAGAATACAAAGAAAGTTTTATCTGCCTTCATTAATTCATTTTATAGAATCTGAAAGGTTTACTAGTTTCTGTTCAGTTAGGAACATGTCATGTGACTGTCCAGTGACACTTACTGGTGGTATGTGAGACAGCAGACTAGTTCTATTAAACATGATAAATACTTAGACAAAAAGAAGGAGCTAAGTTCCAGAGATTCTTAAAAATTGGAATTTGAGAGGTGGATGAGATGTGGGTGGTGACAAGGAATGGGCAGGGGAGAGATTCCAAATTCCAGTAAAGGCTGAAAATTTGAGAAAAGCCTATAAAAAAGCCATTGTATTCTGCAATATTCAGCATCCTAGAGTTGTATTTCCTTCCTTGTCAAAGTTTTCAACTTTATTGTTGATTGCGTTTTTCCCCGTGTGGTTTATATTTTATTTTTTTATAATAGAAGCCAGTTGGGAAAATAGGATAAATTTGTTTCACTTTTCAGACAGCTTTATTGGAGTACATATCTGAACCTGATCCCTCCAAATTTTTGCATGTGAACTTGATGTTACTATGACTTTCATAAGGAGCCCTGGTGGCGCGATAGTTAAGTGCTTGACTGCTAATCAAAAGTTCGGCTGTTCAAACCCACCAGTTCCACCAGAGAAAAGACCTGGTGATCTGATCCCATAAAGATTACAGCCTAGGAAACCCTTTGGGGCAGTTCTACTCTTCCTATAGGGTCGCTATGAGTCGAAATCACCTTGACCACCTACAACAGCAACAATGTAACTCCTATAACTGATACACCTGGTCCCCTTTTCACTTCTCTCCTCTACAGGTAGTCCCTGATTTACCACATATTTGAGTTACAACAACTGCAATTAGGAACATATTCTTGACTTTAATAAACAGAAGTTTATTTTCTCACAGTCTAGTAAGCTGTAAGTCTGAATTCAGGGCAGCAGCTCCAGGGGAAGACTTTTCTTTCTCTGTCAGCTCTGGAGGAAGGTCCCTGTCATCAATCTTCCCCTGTTGAGGAGATTCTCAGAACAGGGATCCCAGGTCCAAAGGAAGCGCTGGTCTCCTGACTCTTGTTTCTTGGTGATATGAGGTCCCCCTGTCTCTCTGATCTCTTGTCTCTTTTATATCTCAAGAGATTGACTTAAAACACAACCTAATCTTATAGATTGAGTCCTGCCTCATTAACATAACTGCCTCTAATCGCACCTCATTAACATCATGGAGGTAAGATTCATAACAACATTGGAAAATCACATTAGATGACAAAATGCTGAACAATCGCACAATACTGGTAATCATGGCCTAGCTAAGTTGACACACGTTTTTTGAATTGTTGTGCTTTAAGCGAAAGTTAACAATTCAAGTTAGTCTCTCATATAAAACTTTATACATACATTATTATGTGATCCTTGTTGCTCTCCCTATATTGTGACAGCACACTCTTCCTTTTCACCGCAGATTTCCCATGTCCATTCAACCAGCTCCTGACCCTCTCTACCTTCTCATCTCGCCTCTGGACAGGAGCCGCCCATTTAGTCTCATGTATCTACTTGAGCCAGGAAGCACACTCTTCTTGAGTGTCATTTTATGTCCCATAGTCCAGTCTAATCTTTGTCTGAAGAGTTGGCCTTGAGAATGGTTTTAGTTTTGGGCTAACAGATTGACACACAATTTTTGGGGGACACAAATCCATAATACCAACTCATAATGACCCCGTATGACAGTAGAACTGCCCTACAGGGTTTCCTAGGCTGTAATCTTTATGGGAGCAGATTGTCAGGTCTTTCTCCCACAGAGCTGCTGGGTGGGTTCGAAGCACCAGCCTTTCAGTTAGCAGCCGAGCGCTTTACCATTGTGCCACCAGGGCTCCTTGACTTGGTTCTAAGTGGGTTTTTTTCCTTTCTCCACCCTACTTCCACTACACCTGTTCTTGGTTGTCAACCTCAAAAAGTGGCAAGAAACTTGTGAGCCCTCCATAGCACCGGCTTTTTTTTTGGTAAGTTAGTAATATGTATGTATGTATTAAAATATATCTGTAAGTTTGTATGTGATGTTTCCAACCCCTAAAGACAAATGAAGATCGGATTTATAAAAATACTCATAATAATAGGTATAAAAATGAAAACAAACAAAAAAAAGTCCCCATCATAAGTTGGGGACTACTGTACTTTAAAAAGCTGCATTTTTGGTGAAAAGATTTATTTTTCTCACATTTACAATTATTTTTATTATTACTTTAGCAGCTTATCTCCTATCTAAATAAATTCAGAGAATATTGGAAACAATATTGATTTAGCCTTCCTATATATCATACAAGTAGCCCTCATGGCACAGTGGTTAAGTGCTGGGTTGTTAACTGAAAGGTAAGCATTTCAAACCCACCAGCCGCTCTGCAAGAGAAAGATGTGGCAGTCTGCTTCTGTAAAGATTACAGCCTTGGAAACCCTATGGGCAGTTCTGCTCTGTCCTTTAGGGTCACTATGAGTCAGAATCAACTCAACATGCAAGATTTTCTTTACCTATAACCTTCTTGGAGCCCTTGTGGCTCAGTGTTTAAGAGCTCAGGCTGCTAACTAAAACGTTGACAGGTCAAATCCACCAGGCACTCCTTGGAGACCATATGGGGCAGTTCTACAGGTTGCTATGAGTGGGAATCAACTCAACGGCAAAGGGTTTGTTGTTTGTTTTTTTTTTTTTTTTTTTTTGATATACACCTTTTACGTGTTGTATGCTTAAAACCACACAGACAGGGACTTCCCAAAGAAATAAAAATGTATGATAAAAATAAAACAATACACAAGAAAAGCATCTCTTAAGCTCGCAGAGGAAGAAAGATATGAATAGCATCTCTTGAGGCTATCTCATCAGAAAAGAGTAGTATTCACTTGCATTCGTGAGATCCCAGAAGGAGTATCTGTTTTGTTTTGTATTTTTTTGGACTAGAGGTAGGAAAACAATAAAGACTTTTTACTTTGCTTCTTTCCTATATTGTTGGTTCTGTTTACCATAAGCCTTTTCCTTCCGCTTCTTCTCCCTCTCATTTATGAATTGTTTGTTGGTATTTTGGTTATTAAGATTCATTATAACTCTTGGCTTAGGTCCTGAAGGTTTTTTTCAACCTCAGTGGGAAGGTGAGTGTGAAACTCATGGAGATTGGTACCTTCCTCTTTTGGATTGTTACTTGTTTCATATAAGAAGGATAGAATGCTACAGCTTAAGACTTGGAAAGTAGCATGATTCATCCCTTTACTTCCTTTGCATGTCAAAACTTCATGGTCAGATGAGATTATAGTTCTTTAGTTATATTCAGACTCCTTCCAAGTTTCTCCCAATATCTGTTAACAAATACCTCTAGAATGAGATTTCTACAAGATTTATTGTGATTGCTTTATGTTATGTGAAATGGTGACAATCTGGCAGAGAATATAAATTTGGTAAAGTGAATTACAGTCGGCCTATCATCCAACTTCCTTATGTCCCTTGAGCCTCGAGACCTTCAAGTTATTCATGGTCTACTGTCATTGATTCAAATTCTGTATTCCAGAAATTGTAGAATAATAAAAAGGCTATGTAAATTCTAGGGGGAAGGACTTAGAGTCATGATAATTTTTGCAAGGCATGGTTTAAAACCAACTGCCATAAAAGTCCCAAAAAACAGTGGTTTCTATCAAGTAGAGGATGAAAGAATGAAAGTAAATTTTAATTCAAGAGTCTAATTCTTAAAAAAAAAAAAAAAAAAAAAACTAACTATAGGACTCTTGCGTTATTTTAGTATCTGTTCCCTACCCAAGCTTTACACTATGCACCCCTAAACTCAGAAAACATTTTAAGTCTTAATATTAAGTGAAGGTGAAAGGAAAATTCACTTAAAATAGACTAGTGGATTATGCTCTCCACCATATAATCAAAACCACCGGGCTTTCAGTGGATACCGAAACATGTTTTGGTTGCTAGGTCTTTAATGGCTGTTATTTTTGGATTCTGTTCATGATCCACTTCCCAACAGTAAGTCTGATGTGACACAGCTGAGTTCTAAATATGCTGCGTGTGCTTTTTTTAAAAGATGGCTGCTGAAGGTTGTGCTCTCTACATTCTTATCTGAAAAGACAGGTGATAGGGTTTTTCTAGCCCTCATCTCTATTCTCCTGTTGAGAATCTTTGTTTCTCTTGAGGCCTCATCATCCTCATGAAGAGGAACTCGGGAAAAGTAGTATTCTGCTAATACCTCTCTATGGAATATGGCAGCAGTAGTGGTTAATAGAGCTACCTCCTGAGAATGGGTTAGTGTTGTTAAGGCAAATGGTGCTGCAGATACCCTGCTGGCAAAGGGCTGG